AAACCAATCAGAAAATGACATTCCAGTGCCCAGAATGGAGAAAAGTTCTTCTCTCCTTGTTTCATACAAACACTTAAGTTTTTGCCTTTTCTGATTTTTTTTTTTTCTGTCCCATTCAATTAACTTTGTTGTATGTTTGTGTATGGAGACGAGAAAATGATGATTGAGCCTCTTCTTAGTGAGAGAAAGATGCTCCACCCTTTTCAATTTGACTCACTGCCCACCCCTTAACTGACAAGTGGATCAGGATAACATCACCATATCCACTTCTTTTTATTCCTACCCAATTTGTTTTCTATGACAGAAATGAAAATTTTTACAAGAATCTATCATGCAAATCACTTTTCTAAAACAACAATCGATGCTGATGATCATATTTTACCAAAATATTTTCAAAGAGTTAAGGAGGAAAATCAAGCAAATTTAGTGCTTTATGTTTTTGAATTGTGTACAATTTTCTCAGGTTGGTTCATTCTGACTGAAGTCTTTTGATATCAGATTTTCTTCCTAATAAAAACAGTTTTCCAGTGATGTGAAAGACGTGTTGTGTGCAGAGGGCTCAATCTGGGTGTTGACTAGATGAGGAATCAAAGCAATGTCAACAGAAATTTGTAAGGCAGGAGATCAACTCCACCATTCGTAATAAAAAAAAAAGAACAAATAAAAAAGAACAAAGAAAAAAAAACAAAGAAAAAGAAGCAATGAAATGCAACTTGTCTCGTCTTTTTTCACTTTCTTTTGTTTCTGATTTGTTTTTTACATTTTGCAAATGTGATTTTATTTTTTTATAAATACCTCAAATCTAATCACTTTAATAATTCACTTAAAATAAAATCTTAATTTATAATCAGTTATCATCCAAATTTCAAAACTAGAAAATTTTAGTTAATAAAATACTAATTAGTTTCTCTGTATACTTCAGTATTTCCCACCGTTTGTGATAGTGCCCTCATATGGTCTCTCCTATGTTGAAAGGGAGCACTGGGATTTTTTATTTGTTGGACAGTGAACATGCTCAGGACTGGTGGGCTTTTATCCATTTTCTTTTTCAAATTTTCAAACATTATTCAGTGTTGGCTGATTTCTGAAAGGTATCTAAAGCTGTGGGAAGCTATCAAACTTTTCTTCATTGCTTTTCCAACTTCCTATATGGCTGAATGTTGTTTCCATGCAATTAAGCAGCTTCTTACTAAACAAAGAAACTATCTGCAAATTACAAAACAAGGAGATCTGCAATTAATTCTACACAGCATGAAACCTAAAGTAATAGCCTTAGATAGTAAGCACCAAAGTCTATTATCGCATTGTAAACATTGAGATATAAAATAAGATTTTATTTTTGCATTTTAATCATTGGCATTTATAATAGAAATGAGAACAAAATTAATTTTTCACTAATGCCTAAGTGTTATTTTACTATGAAAGATGAATTCAGTATAATATTTGGAATTTGTGTTAACAAAAAGTTTGTGCTCAAAGGGAAAGCTGGTTAAAAAAAAAGGTTTGGAAAGACTGGTCTACTTGGAGATTTTGACATTAACTCAATTTAAACAACTTAAAAATATTGAATGTTTCTTTAAAAGTTTATTAATAAGACCCCTTTTTTGTGAAGCAACTGTTATCAGGATGGTCTTTGCAGTTATTTCACCCACATTACAAGTACATATTATTGTCTCTCTCTTTCTCAGGTAGGGTAATGGATAGTGGCTTGGAATTAGAAATTGGGCAGCCAAGTTTAAAGTCCAATTCACTTCATTACATTATGAATGAAATAGAACAGACATATATATATGAAGAAACACAGTTTGAAGGTGTTATATTTATGGAATAAAGTGCTCAATATCAGAGATAGAGCATATGTAAATATAAAAGTCAACACTCAGAGGCGACAGACTGTTTCATACAAAACGTAATCATCAGGCAATATGTTTTTTCTCGACTATATACAGGTCAGTGGTGCATTGTGGGTAGTTCTAAGTTATTTTGGCAGGAGTGTTTTGTTTATTATTTATTTGGATTAATTTATTTTACTTGTTTTTTCTTATTTTATTTTATTTTTATTCTTTACAGTTTTCTATTTTTAAGTAAAGATTTGTTTTCATATCTGCATTTTGAGATTAGCCCTGATCATTTATTTAGTAGTTTGTTTATTTTGGCTGGTGTGGTTTGTTTGTTTATTATTTATTTATTTATTAATTTGGATTCATTTATTTTACTTGCTTTTTCCTATTTATCTTTATTTTTATTTATTCTTTTCAGTTTTCAATTTTTAAGTAATGTAGTAAAAATTTGTTTTTGTGGCTGTGTTTGAGATGAGTTCTGATCTTTTATTTAGTAGTTTGTTTTGGTCTGGGAAAGTAATTATAGCTATTTTTTTCCTCCAAGCAGAGTTTTCAGTTTTTGGATTGATTGTTGTAGGCTGATGTTTTCATATTTTTGGTGTGTTTTGTTTTTAATTTTCCAGCTATACTTGGAAAGCATTGTGATGTTCACATATTTACTATTTGTGAAAGATGTTTTGTGTGCATAGTTTCTTTGTTTCCAGGGTCCTTCAGGTACTCCTACTCATTTTTTTTTTTTTTTTGTTATCTGATGATTTTACCATGGCTTGGTATATTACATTGTTTTGTAAGCTCTTACCATTTAAGGGACATTTGTTCTTTATTCTGCAGTTACACATGAGTTTAATTTGTTTGGGTGGTTTGTTGATAGTTTTCCTGTTGTGCTTTTTTATTATTTGTGCCATTTTTCTCAGTGCAACTGTAGCTGATTTTTACTGTGTTTTTGTTGAATATTTTGTGGAGAGTGCTTGATTTGTTTGTGTTAGAATTTGATGAATATTTTTCCTATGTTTGTATTTATGTTTTTGTTGTGCAATGGGTTGGACCATATGATGTTTCTCTTGCTGTTGGCTTTTTTGTCCTCTGTGGTGAGTATGTGAATGTTGCCAGGAATTCATTTTCTTTCAGGGCTGTTTCATAGTCTTTCTTAGCTTCGTTAAATAGGGTTTCATTGAAAGGATTGTTGGAAAGCCTGCAGTTAATTGATTTTGGCATCTGCTTGATTATAGATGGCTGGTGATTGGAAGATATGTGTATATACAGTATTGTCATTGGATTTTATCTATGGTTTATATGTGCCTTTTATTATGTTGAAGGTAACATCTAGAAAATCTGCTTCATTTAGGTTAGTTTTTTATCTATGTTGAATCCATTATTTTTGAAAATCTTTATTCTTACTTTTCTAGTTTTGTCTGGGTTTTGTTTGTTATAATTTCTTAAGATTATGAGACCATCATCCGTATAGAGTCCTGTATCATTTCTATCTATTATTTTGCTTTGAAAAAGAACAGATGAAGTAAAATTCTGCTGTTCATAGCATTTACTTTTAAAAAAGTTGTTTATATAAATTAGAGCAATGTATTATTATTTTAGATATTAAAACTAAATCATGTTGAAACTGCTACACAATAGCTTTCATGTTTTGGTACTACATTGTACCTCTTCAGGTGAATGCTAAGTGACTGGTGATTAAATAATTTATTTAAAATTTCAAAAGCAAAATGTTATCCACCCCTTTATCTTTTGAAAAACACATGGTCAGAATTAAAAATAGACTTGATTCTGATCATG